TTTGCGAGGAAACATTAAATAATGAATGGTGATCGTTTATTTTTTTTAGTAAAGAAAGGGTAATAGAAATTTTTGAAGAAAACTTTGTGCGGGGATGGAAAGCTTTGTGTAAAGAACAAAATGTTTACAACGAATTGTTATTTGTTAATTTAAGTCAGTATATGTGCAGGTTGGCTCTCTTGCCTCACAGCAGTGCAGCCGCTGAGAGGTCCTTTTCTATAATGAATATTATAAAAACGGAAAGAAGGAATCGATTAAATACTGAAACTATTGATAATATTATATTTGCTGAAGAGTTATGCAATGGAAATAAGCTATTTGTTCCATCCAATGATTTAATTATATATGCGCAAAAATATAAATTTGTTAAAGGGTCGTATATTTTATCAACTTGATAAAATGAATTGCTAGTCAGAATTGTAGAGTTTTGAAGTCTGAAAAACATGTACAAATACTAAAGTCTTATTTACATACACATATGTAGATATATGTTTACTCAATACATATGTATATAAAATACAAATATTGATCTTTTATGTATACAGATATGTGTTTATTTATGTTAAATAAATGAATTTGAAAATCTACCACATCTTGTTCAAATCTACCACATTTTTTTTTCGATTCTACCACATAAAAAAATGGGGTTTGCACACTGCATACAACACCAACTTTTCGTTGATTTATTTTGTTTCGATGTTAACGATTGATGATTTATTTCGTTTCAACGTTAACGATTGAGTTTTGTTTCGTTAATTCAGCTCTGAAACGAAACGAAATTATTTTGATAAGTTATTTTTGCGCATCAACAAAACGAAATCGATTCATATGGTTCAGAGGTGGGCACTTTTTTGCCCGCGCAGCAGCGAAAGTGCGAGCGGGGGCTTGAGAAATGGAAAAACAGTTTACGGGAGGAAGGGTATGAAAAGTTGCGAAAAAATTATTTATATCCACCGACATCATGTTCATCGCAGTACGGCTGCTAGTGATGTTCCGATACGAATACATATGAGTAAATACTCGAGTACCTCTACCAAGTACCGAGTATTTTTAGTACTTCGATACATGTGACCAAGTACTTGGTGGGTATCGAGGACCTTGTGCAAGTATTTACTCGGTCGAACAATTTATGCAACTCTAGTCAAATTAGTCAAGTTGCCACAAGTTGGATATATGAAGTTTGACACGTATCCCATGTGCTGAAGCTTTATGGTATTTCATTCAACAATAGCCTGCGTTACGAGGGAAAAATACGTATATACAGTGCCGAACAGAAGTATTGGCACAGTGAATTTTTCGCAATATATGCGAAGTTTTTTATTCTAATTTATTTTCGATAATTTTTAATAAAAATATTGTTCTATTTCTATTTTCTATATTTTCCGCAAACGTCAAGCTGTGAAGTTCTACTTATATTGTGCCTTGATTGGTCTTTGTATTTTGCAAAGTTTATTGTGCTAATCTTGTGTAAAAGTTGCTATAAAAAGTGCCTACGAGCATCTTAGTGTGATAATAACCGAAGCTAAATGAAAGTTTTGTGATTTTTGTGGTTTTTATTGAATTTAATTAAATTTCACTATCTTACATCTAATCTTGCCGAGTCATTTGTTGTTATCATTGTTGTTGTTATTCCTTTGTAGTTAACTGAGATCGTTTCTATTTTTGCACATTTCTTTTTGCTCTTTTTGTTTACTTCGTTTAGTATTTCTTGTCACAGCTGTTTGCGCTGCGTTTATTAAGTGTCACAATACAGTGATACTCAAACTGTTCGCTACATATATTTTTAAGCTAAATACATCAGCTCCTAAATTGTTGTGTGTGTTGTGTTAAACTTATTTTGCTTGTTTTTTTATTAACATAAGTGTTATTAAATCTTTCAATATGAAGTGTGATCTTGATAACTGCCAAATCAAAAGCGAATCTGAACGCTACTTATCGTGCTGGCGCTGTGATGGTATTTGCCATCTAAAATGTGCTGGTTTGACAGGAAGAATTCTGGACGCTATTAATGATGGCAAAGGTCTTCGCTGGTCTTGCTTAAAGTGCAGGTCAACCGAAGTTGATCTCTTTAAGTTGTTTAGGCAAACCAGAAATGGGTTTTCTGAGGTAGGGAGAGAGTTGTCGGTACTGACCGAAAAATTTAAACATTATGAAAATGTATTTAAATCTTTTAAATGCTTAGATACCGTACAATCTATGAAGGACATTCATGTGTCAAAACGTAAGCGTCTTCATAGTCCGCCTAATGAAAGGACCGTTCCACGTCAGAACAATCTTCCGAATGACTTAATTAATCTTTCTTCTCCATGTCCACAGACAACGGAGTTATCTTCCTCAAAAGAACATATATCAAAGTCTGCTTCTAATAATAACGACCCTGCAGTATCTTCCCCCGTTGAAGTTGTGGCACCGCCATCTAATCTTCCAACGCTTACTCTACCCTCAATTAGTAACTCAGTTACTCAACCCCGTCCGCCGGTAATCGAGTCTGATACTAGGAGACTGGTTGTGGTTCCCCCAAAGAAGTCTATATTTGTATCTAGATTTTCGAGGGATACTTCCGAGGACGATATAAAGTTTTACATCTCGTCCAAAGTTAAAACTGTCAACTTAAGTATCAGAAAATTTTATTTTAAATATGAAAGAAATATTTCTTCATTTAAAATAGACGTAAATTTAGAAAATTTTGACATGCTGCTTAGTAGTTCTTTTTGGCCCTCCGGAGCTTTCGTTCGTGAATTTGAGTACTGGCCCAACAAAAATAATAATTTAGCAAATATTCCCCGTCAGAATACAGAACCAAAAAACTGATTACTAAATCTGCTTTAAGTATTTATTATCAAAACGTAAGAGGCATAAATACTAAATTAACGAATTTATATCTTAATGGCCTTGAATGCAATTATAATATAATTTCTTTGACTGAAACTTGGCTCAAACCTCACACTTTTAATTCAGAGATTCTTTCAAATAATTATCATATCTACAGAAAAGATCGGGAGGACAGAGTCGGCGGTGGCGTACTCTTTGCCGTAGACTCTTCAATACCATCTGAAGAAGTTAGTCTTCCACACATTGAATCTGCAGAATTCAAATGCATTCGTGTTCAGGTTGGAAGGGGGTTTACTTACTTAGCTCTATGCTATATTCCTCCCCGATCTGACTTATCAGTGTATTCCCAACATGTATCTTTACTGAAATCAATTAATTCAATGATTAAACCCTCTGATTCATTGATTGTGTTGGGTGACTTTAATTTACCAAATGTATCATGGAACATCATTGACAATGATATTGTACCTTTCTCGTCTGGCGCGTGCAACAACGTATTTTTAGAGGAGATGGCAGAACTCTGCCTGAATCAAGTTAATGTACTTCGCAATAAGTTTGGCAAAGTATTAGATCTTGTTTATGTTTATGAGGTGGGTTTTATCGAAGGCTGAGGTAGCTCAGCCGCTCCAGGGTTGAGTGGAGGTCCCACTAACCCCCACTGAATAAAATAAACACAGTAGTTAAATATAGCGAACACAACCACACACACACGCGGCCGTTCGGCCCGGCTGCCGGTACCCTGACGTCCACGAAGAGAGGGGAGAGAGAGAGAGAGAGACTAACTGGTCGGCGGTCGGCGTCGTGGCTCAGAAAGCGGAGACTGTCTAGTGGCTAGTGACGGGGGGCGGTGATGTTGAGAGCGGTGACGGGGAGAGCGGTGATGGTTCGGTGAATAATGACAGTGAGAGCGGTAGCGAGCGTGATGATGGTAAATGCCCACAGCACGGGTACTGCAGCCAATGAGAGCGACGATGCTGATCGTGATGGCAGTAGCAGTCCCTTTAGTAGTGACGGCCCTGGATGGCGATGATGTTGCTAGCGGCCCTGAAAGGTGGCGGCTCTTGGTGTTGCGTTCGGCCTGGGGCGGCAATGATATTGGCGGCCCAATGGTGAGGAAGGCGGCAGTCCGGCCCTAATGAAGGACGACGATGACAACGGCCCTGGATGGCGATGATGTTGCTAGCGGCCCTCGTTAATGATAGTCGGTGGTGGTTCCTTGTTGTAGTCTTGGCCCAGGGCGGCACTTAATATTGGCGGTCCGAAGCGGTCACGGAAGTCACCTACGGAAGCTACGGAAGCTCGTCGTTAATATGTTCTCACAAACCACCAACCTGTCCCGTAGGCAGAGCCAGGGGCGCTCGAGGTTACACGGC